GGGGTAAAGGTTACGGTGCCTCGTTTAGTATAGGCCTCTACCTACACGTCGCACTTCGTTCGGTTACGCAGCTTGTTCCACTCGCCTGTAGCGAAACTAAGGGGTTACATAGCTAGAGCTAGTTCAGTTAGTCCTAGTAGAGTTGTCTTTTTACACCGCCTTATTGAGAATCAACCTCACGGTCTCGGCCACAGGCACTTTTGGAATCAGTCTGCAGTACTGGTTTTATTCTATTTTTAATTTCCTGGACTGATAAGCCGGTATCAGAATTCAAACGGCATATGCCCTTGACAAAAAACCCTGATATAGTGCCATGTTGTATGCAAGACATGGAACGCTTGTCCGCAAGAATCTTAAAGCGGATGCGCTGTATAGACGTGACATGATCGACAACGCCAGTGAAGATAGAAACGTAGATTATGACCTATGTGCACGTACGACTCGGGGTGTCGCCATGGATGGTTGCTTTGCGCCTCAAATGTCCGATAGCTTGAACATGGCGGTAATCGTGATAAAATAATGATGATGATTATCAAAATATCATTACTCTTACCGGTTTCTTCTTAAATTGTTAAAAATTTGATGGCCATTATCCTAATATATTAAAGGTTTAGAGAGTATATTGATACGTTCTGTACTGTTACTACTGAGTATGAGTGTAGAAGTATTAATTATAACACGTAGGGCCTGAAGGGGTCATAGTCCATAAATTGGCAATAATCATCACCCAGCGAATATTATCGCAACGAGGAAACCATCTGTAACGTCATCACAAGATGGTGCTGTCGAATATGTCAGTTCTAATGTTACTGCAAATAAATAGTTAAAATCGAAAATAGTACGAAAACAGAAAACGTACTTGCAAAAACACTGGAAGTTGAACTATGGCAACCCGCTGCTTCAGTTGAAGCAGCATTCCTGGCAAAAGCGCGAATTTCATGCATTTACCTAACCGCCTATCGTGTAATTTACATATATCATAAATTTATCATCTTCTCAACATTACACACTCTTTAAGACTACAGTGTGCTCCATGAATAAGAAAACTACGCATGGTCAATAAGATTAACATTGAATATTTGCACGCAAAATTGAAAATCATGACATAAGCACGCAGCAATGGCTACCGCAGTGAGATCTACAGGCTATTGTGCATAAAGCTGTTCAACGGGTTTACGATCGACGGATAGCTGGCTAGTAACATTTATCCTCAAACTATTTATGTTCTAGTTTCATCACTGACGTACAGACAGAATCTAATGTAGTTGTGCTTGTAAGTGAAGAAATCAATACTGTAGCAGGCATGCATCTCCTGCGAATATATATATACTCAGGATTCAGTGGGAATTCTACGGCATATGCGCATCGAAAACTATTCCGCTGGTATAGCTAAGTTGGATCTATAAACGCTACCATGGGATTCCTTCTCACAAATTCCGTGACCAATCCTGAACATGACGAGCTAAATTTGTATCAAGTGTTATAACTACAAGTCTAATAATATTTTCTTGTTGTTGTACATTCAATGTCTCATGTCGGAAATTCTTCATCGGCCTAGAGCAAAAACTGTTCACTAACAAAATACTGTCCTCGAAATGTGTGTAAAATATTCTAGATGCAAACAAACCAATGAAAAGAACCGCTGACGGAACAGACCCAACCACGTAACATAAACCTCCTCTAGTTACTGCACCAGACTATTCTAAAACGCTTACCGATTCGTAACCGCCCATTAAAAATAATATTATTGTAAATCGGTGTGAAATATAATGGATGCAAACCCGACTGGAAGGATTCTACGACATCATCTAATTCTAGATAAGACCTAACTTCGTAACATATATAGGCCCTATACTCATTATTGGATGGACTCTGCAACACTCTACAAACTGCCCAGCCCTCCCCCCCCCATATCTGCTCTGCCCTTGAGGGGTGTCTCTCTCTCTCTCTCTCTCTCTCTCTCTGCAACGCTCTACAAACTGCTCTGCTTTTGCTCTGCAACACTCACTGTATCGGGCTTCTCAAAATGAATCGGCGAAGCCGCGCCCCTTTAAGACAAGATTTAGAGACAAATTTGTGGTCATAATTTTTCTACCCATTTTAGTTGATAGATCGCAGCAAGATCGCAGCCATGGGCAGCTATGTATTAGTAGATTGTGATGTATTTCGCCTCCCAAACAATTCAAAATTCCCGCACTAGTCAATTCTTAACACAGGCGTTCAATGATGGGAAATTTATAAAAGTGCTGATATCTCGGTTGTTAAAAATGTAAAAGTAGGTGATTTTTCAAGCGCTATTTCTCGAAACTCGCAACTCCGATTCAAAATTTTTGGTTACGTTTCAATGCTAGCATATCAAAGGAAAACAGGATCCGTGGAATTTAAAAAAAAAATGTATTTTATGAGTTATGGCTCTTTGTTTACGAAATTGTTGCGTTTAGAAATTCACTACACATTTGTGTACATCTTTTCAACTTATTTCCTAAATTAAAGCATTTAAAGAAAATTCCAGGGAGCGTTTTTTAGTTCATATTATGAACAACTTATGGTTAAAAGTTTAGGTCCCAACTCTTTGCTGTTTCTGAGAAATAGCAAAAATAGCATGTTTTTGTATAAATTCACAATTTTTACCGTCAATTAATTAGCGATGAATTTCGCCGAGAGCGTAGAGAGACATCTCTCGTATGTAATGGATATGAGTTTGATTGAATTTGATGAGTAGTTATGTTGCAATGCCATTTACAGTGTTACCGGTCCGTAACCCTTACAGTATCCTTAAAATTTATACAGCCTGCAACGTGCGTGCCCCCATCGCCACGAACGCCCACGCGCAGTAGCAGCAGCAGCAGCAACAACAACAACAACAACAACAACAACAACAACAACAACAACAACAACAGCATCAACATAAACAACAGCACCATTACTCCAATCCACTACTACAACAACAACAACAACAACAACAACAACAACAACAACAACAACAGCGGCAGCAGCGGCAGCAGCGGCAGCAGCGGCAGCAGTAGCAACAGCAGCAGCAGCAGCAGCGACAGCAGCAGCAGCTCGTTAGCAACGCGGCAGTCTGTCACCAGAGCTCAACCGCGTGATCCGAACTCGTGTTGCGAACCTAGCTAGTCGCCGCCAGATCCCCGAAGCGTGCACGCGCGCACGCACGCGCGCACGCATGCGGAGCAATCAATACTCCACAGCGCGGTCTCAACGCGGCCATCCAAAAACCATGGCAGCGCTAGTGTTCGCAGACGGCTATGCGTGTAGTGCTGCGGGCAGACAACAGGGCACGCAGCAGTTTTGCCGCCGCCGCCGCTGTTACTGCATGCATACACTGCTAATACTCTAGCTCTGCCGCTATGTGCGTGCACTCAGACGACCGGCACTGCCGACAAGCATGCCGGTTTTCAATTTCCTGTCAGCAGTGTCACGCCAAATAACGTCAGATCCGGCCGGCCCCACCCTATCATCACGCACGGGCGGGCTCAACCATCGCATTTTTCAGTAGGTTCGTGCGGGTGCGTCTCACCCACCCACTCAACTCGTACAGTTCTGGTGACGCGTTACACAGGCTTACAGACAAACAAAACATGCCTGCCTGCCTGCCTGTCAGCCAGCCTGCGGGCGTTCGTGTCGCACGCACGTCTGCTCACGTACCCTTCACGGACGGACACGCACACACGTACGCGCGCACGCATGCACGTACGTGCGCACACGCGAACGACGCCTGGGTGGTAAAGGCATTAAAACAGTACATTCGGCGAGATATGCCTATAATAAATGTGCAACTATATACGCTGCCCTTTCAACCTTTCCATTTCCTTTCCAAAATTGGCCGGCCCATATCACTGGCTACAGGAACACGTCCGCACCATGCATGCTGTATTGTATATACAGCGAAATAAGGAAAGAGCAAGAGAGAGGGAGCGAGAGAGAGAGAGAAATCGAACGAGTAAGAGAGAGAGAGAGAGAGAGAGAGAGAGAACGCGAGAGAGAAGGGGGAGAAAGAGAGAGAGAGAGAGAGAGAGAGAGAGAGAGAGAGAGCGGAGAGAAGAGCGAGAATAAATGTGTACAGTTTGCGTGAAGGCGGACTCCTGCGCTCATGCACCCAGCGGCTTAGCGGTGAACGCCGATTGAATGACAAGAACACGCTCCTGTATATAAATACAGTACACCTACTTTATTCAAAACATGATTATTATTCTGCACACACACAGACGGCATGTGGAATAAAACGGGAAAAAATTATTCAGTCTGATCACCTCGCCGTCATCCAGATCCACAAAAATATAACAACATGAAAGATTCTCGTGACGTCACACAATACTACTAAAATTATTCATCGGACGACGAACACTGTCGCGTGGTTCTCGTATCCCGGTTGGTTCCCGGATCGTCTGCCAGTGTGCGCGCCACATCGCCGGTTTCCAACGTTTCCTGCCGCAGAAACAGTGCAAGCTTATTTAATCCTTATAAAGGCGGGCCACGGAGCGGCGTACGTGTTTGCGACGTCGCTTTGGCGGGCGGCCAACAATTCTGCAAGCGGCCAACACGTGCTATTTACGACCGCCATCGCCACGTTTATCTTCCATCGGCGCTCGGCGACGTGACGTCACGCGGCTGCGGCGCTGTAGCGCGCCGTAAAAACTTCCACGATCTGCTGATGACTCATCACGCAGTTCATAGCGAAGGACACAGCTGCCGGCAGCAGCGACTACAGCACGCTCGCCGAGGCGCGAGATGACGTAGTCATTACACGAGCGGAGGAGGGGGAGGAGGAGGAGGAGGACGAGGAGGCGAGGGGAGGAGGACGAGGAGGCGAGGGGAGGAGGGGGAGGAGGAGGAGGAGGAGGAGGGGGAGAAGGTAAAAGGAGGAGGAAGAAGGAGAGGAGTAAGTAGAGCTCAGATAAGAGAAGGTAAAGGAGGAGGAAGAGGGAGAGGAGTAAGTAGAGCTCAGATAAGAGGAGGTAAAGGAGGGAGAGGATGGGAAGGTGGAGGAGGGGAAGGAGGAAGAGCAGGTAGAGGAAAAAAAGGAAAAGGAAGAGGAGGATGGAAGGAGGAAGAAGAGGTGCAAAGAGAGAATGACAAGGAGGCTCGCGTGCAGAAATGAAGTCGGGAGACTCCGATATGACACAGTTCGTCCGTCAGTAATCTAAAGATAAATATCCAGAATAAACTCAAAACTGTAAACAGGTGGAGAACAAGTAAGCCTGACCGTCTCTTCATTCGCACCTCTACGGGGCAGTGGGGGATGGTGACATCACAGTCACGCGGCCGTATAAAGATTAAGTATCGTATGTACATAAACAACAGATGAATGAAAACATCTAACGGGGTTTCGTCGACGAAAACGTTTCGGTTTTCAGGAATAACAATCTGCCGAATGACCCGCCAGTGAATTCCGGCTGTACCGTTCACCTATCAAACTGTCCCGCTTGGCAACGCCGACAAAGCAACAGCGAAAGGCGGCCGACCAGGCCCAGAGTTATGTCTCCTTCTCCTTCTTGACTCTCACCTCCTCTCCGAGGATCGTGGCGATTTCACCCTGCATGAAAGCCCACGGCACGTTTGAGCCTACCAGGGGGCACTTCTCGCCACTCGGGCAATACACCTCGTTGCCGGCGCCCTGCCGTTTGATGCTCTCCCGCGAGCACGGAAAGCAGAACTTGTGGTGCGGAATCGAGGGACACTGCACAAAGTGTGTGTCTTCTAGTCGCTCGTGGCACAGAGTGCACGTAAGCGTCGTTGTTCCGCCGCCGCTGCCGCTGCCGCTGCTGCTCGCACTCGATTCGGGAATGCAGCCCTCGCTCGAGCCGCTACCGTTGACACGCGACCTCGCGTTTCCGGGAGAGTGCGGACTGTGTCGCACGTGCGCCACCCGCCCGTTCAGGGATGCTTCTTTTCCCGGCGACTCCTGCCGCGGCAGATTCTCCGTGACCGACATGAGCGCCGCCATCGGCGACGGACCGTTCTGCTGCAGCATTCCACTGGACTCCGGCGGCGTCCGACTGTTGACTGCTCTTACGTGAACTCCTGGTCCAATGTAACCAACTGAAATAACGAGAGATGTTAGGATACTGTAGCTGTCAGCTGTGTCCGACTGTTGACCGCTGTCACGTGAACTCCTGGTCCAATGTAACCAACTGAAACAGCCAAGAGATGCTAAGGTGCTAAAGTTGGCAACTGCAGATACGACTCCTCACCGAATCTCCTTCCCTGCTGGACTGCCCTTCCAAGAACTCCCGATTCTGTGTAACCAACTTAAAATAACAACAGATGTTAAGATAAGTACTGTAGTTGTCAGCTGTGTCCGAATGATAACCGCTCTCACGTGAACTCCTGTAATCGGGTCCACTGTAACGACATGGGGTCCACTGTAATCGACTGAAATAAGAGATACTGAAATAATGTCGTGTTCAACCGCAGGCACGGCCCCCTGACAAGTACCCCTCTCCGTAGCTATACCCGTGTAGCCATTCGTTCCGCCACAGGCGGTTTAAGACGTTCGCTACCAGTGGCGGAGTGGTGAGCTACACGGGTATAGCTACCGTCCCTACTATTGGACTGTCCTTGCATGAACACCTGGTAATACGTATACACCTGAAATAACAAGAGATACTAAGATGTAGCTGTCAACTACAAACTGATAAGTTCCACTCCCACCTGCTAGACTGCCCTTGCATGAGTTCCTGGTCCGTTGTAACTAACTGAAACGATAACCAATAGTAAGATACTGTTTCTCAGTCAGACACAACCCCATGGCAGGTTAGACACAACCCCTGACGACAAAAGCACCACTTCAGCAGATGATAATAACAGCTATGCTCAGGTGTAACAAGAAAGACACACGAAGGAAATTTGAATAAGGTGCCACCCTTCGTAACGCCTTTCCATGCGACATACACAAAGCCAAATACGTGCAAAACACTGCTTTCCTCGCACGAATGCATTCTTCTTCTAGCAGTGTAACCGACGATGGGGGTTAAATAGGAAAAAGATACCCCCATTAGTAACTCTAGCACTATAGCCCTCATTGACACTGCCACAGGCGAACGTGCCTCTGGCAGTGACAACGAGGCCTACAGTACTAGAGCTTCATCAGTAGACGACCGTATACATTACAGATGGACACGTATGTAATCAGGAGTAAGCTAATACGTGATCCTTATTATCCATAGTTTATCTCACTACTGGGGTAACCAGGATGGAATAAACACCGGGGGGGGGGTAGACGCGTCTCTTTATTCGCACCTCTACGGGGGCAGTGGGGATGGTGACATCACAGTCACGCGGCCGTATAAAGATCAAGTATCGTATGTACATAAACAACAGATGAATGAAAACATTCTAACGGGTTTTCGTCGACGAAAACGTTTCGGTTTTCAGGAATAACAATCTGCCGAATGACCCGCCAGTGAATTCCGGCTGTACCGTTCACCTATCAAACTGTCCCGCTTGGCAACGCCGACAAAGCAACAGCGAAAGGCGGCCGACCAGGCCCAGAGTTATGTCTCCTTCTCCTTCTTGACAGCTTCATCAGTAGACGACCGTATACATTACAGATGGACACGTATGTAATCAGGAGTAAACTAATACGTGATCCTTATTATCCATAGTTTATCTCCTGAGTTAACCAGGATGGAATAAACACCGGGGGGGGGTAGACGCGTGAACACGTACCTGGGTCAAATTGAAACACCTGAGCTCGGCCCACCTCCTTCTTGCCGTAGCGGCCATCGGCAGCTGGATGCTCCCTACCCGGGGTCATCCTCGCTCCGGGTCTCTCGTGCTCTAGCATTGGTCGTTTATGTACACTCTCGGCGGCCGGATGGCCCGAGCCGCCATCTTGACCGTCGTCTCTCGCGCCGCCAGGACGCTTCGCGGGCGCGCTGCCTGCGGGCAGGGAGCTCGGTCTGACGGACGGAGGCAGTCCGTTGACGTTGTGCATCGGCAGAGGGATGACCGGCCGCGGACTGCCGCGCGGCGGCTCGCCATCGTCCTTCGTCGGCGCGCAGACCATTCTCGTGAGCGGGTAATCCATCATGCTGCCCCTGATGCGCGTGTCCGGCAGGTGGTAGCGCTCGCCGTGCGGGCCGGGCGGCGGCGGCGGCACCCCTCCGCGCACGGTCAGCGTCGACGCCTCGCCACCGCTCTCGTGGGCCATCCGCGGCCCGTTCGGCGGCGGTTTCATGACGGCGCGCGTGTCCTGGAATCCGTGCGCGCGCTTCATCTGGCGGGCCGCTTCCAACACGAGCTCTATGCGGTCAGCGCCCTCGTAGTTGACGCAGCCGCGGCACACCGGCTCAGAGAAGTCGTGCAGCATGGCCCATGGTGTGCGCGGCAGGTCGCAAAGGTAGCAGTGCTGCCTGTGCGTCCTCATCATTGCATCACGCAACGCGCCGCCGTGTACGCGCGTTATGTACGGTACAGTAGCTCGCCTGCTCGCTGTCTCCCTCTCTCTCTCTCTCTGTATATCTCTGTCTCTCGCCAGCGCCCTCTCTCGAGCGCACACCCGCGTGTTCCTCTTTATCGCTCACACACACTCCCGCTGTCTCTCGCTCTCTTTCTCTCCTCCCTTGTCTTTCTCAGCGTACCGTCTTAAGCGAGCAGGTTCGCTGCTGTAGCTTGAGCACGTAGACGTAGTGATCGCTCGTTGCCGTGTAGCGACATAGTACACGACATACTTTCTGCTGCTGCGAAGAATCCAGTTATCACGTCGCACAACCACACACGCACGCACACACGCCTGCTAACTAACTAGGCAGTTTCCATGCGCACGGCGCCACGTCAATACTTCGACTGGGTACAACAACTTTGCTGCGGCGTACAGTTCCTTGCAGCGCAGGCGTGATCGTAGGCGGACAAAGACGGCGTGGCAAAATCGAGCTCCCGTGCTGACACGCCGCGCACGCGGTGTGAGGTTGCCACAGGCTTTCCGATCAGCGAGCGACACTGGTACGCCGCGCACGAACGTAAGCAAAACAACAGCCACCGCCCGAGGGTACGTACGTAGCTCTCTCTCTCGCTCGCTCGTTCTCTCTCTCTCTCTCTCTGGTCGACTACCGGAAAGGAGCGCGCTGAACCGTGCCACGTCACGAGCGAATGCACAGCTGGCGAATAGCACAAGCCAGACAGCAGTACACGCCCCTGGCTCCTACGTCGCTAGTTCCACATGCCGACGCTGGAATGTGGCCTTGCCCTCTCTCTCTCTCGCTCTCGCTCCTCTCTCGTCAGCCACTGTGGTTTTCGCCGATGGTGCTGGGCATTCTACCGACATTAAAACGAGCCAACGCTGTAAAATACGAATATCGGCAGGGCATACGCACGCGCGATCCTGCACGAACGCATTCGCAGCTTTCAGATGTAGCCGTAGCACGTATTTATTCGTTACGTCACGCAAGTGTGGCGGCTGCGCGAACTGGCTCGCTATGGTTTGTTCGTCTGCGTTATCGTGACGTCATCGTGACGTCGAGTATCGTGAACGGCAAATAACATTCCGGTTTGCACACGACCCAGACGTCACTCTTTGCCTTAGCACGTATGTATGTACTGTGCGCATGCAGCATTGAATAAAACTAATTATATCGCTTCTGTTACTAACCCAAGGCGTTGTGCGTCTGCGTGCGCGCTTACGTGCGTGCTGCGTGCGTGCATGGCTATAGGCATGAAATATTCCCGACGAAAAATACCGCAGTGATCGATGATCATTTATAATACATGATGTTTTCGATCAGCTAATGCAGCTGTCAATAATAAACCAATCGATATCGACCATTTGACGTTGCACTATTCCTTCTATTCAGGTAAGGAACACGTACAATAGAAAGTACACACACACACACACACGCACACACGCGCACGCATCGCACCGCACGCACGCACGCACCACAACACACACCACCACACACACACTTTCACACACACACCACACTAATATGATATATATGCGCAGCTGCAAACACACAGACGCACACGACCGAACACACGCGCGAACGCAACACACGCATCACGCACTCTTACGCACACACGCACACCGACACACGCACGCACAAACAAACACACCAACACACACACACAACAAAACAACACGCACGCACGCAACGGCACGCACACAACAGTCACACACACACACAACACACACACACACATATATATATAATAGATATTTGATATAATAATATATATAATTGCGCGCGCGACACACACACGCACAAACACACACGCACACACCACGCAGCACGCCAACAAACACGCAATCACGCAGCTCTACGCCACACACGCCACACACACGACACCGAGCACACAAACACACACACACCACAAAACACACACAGCATAGACAACGCACACACACACACGCACGCACGCACGCACACACACACACACAGCATATATAACTCACTCCATCCCATTCTCCTTCTCATCCGCCAGTCTACATTCATTATCCGCTTTCCCTCTGCCCTTCCCCTCCAACATGTCTATCTCATCCGCTTTCTTCACTCCCTTTCCTACACCGCCACTTCTAACCATTCCGCGTTCTCCTTCTGCGTCATTACCATCACCTCCTCCACCTCATATATATCCTCTACCTCCTTCTCTCCGCTTTCCCCTCTCCTCGCTCCTCTCCCTCCTCCAACGCTTCCCCTTACTCTACCCTTTCCACCTGTTTTATATCCTCTACTTCCTTCGCCGCATTTCTATCTATCTATCTAGTCTCCACCTCCTACCCCTCTTCCACCACTTCCAGTGTTTATACTACCTCGCCTTACCTAGCCTACACCTCTTCGACATTCTCCCCTCCTCCACCCCACCCACCCTTATCTATCCAGCCTTTCCGAACCCTAAGAAACAGCTCGTGCCTTATAGCGTTATAGTTCGTCGACGTGGAAGTGCATTTCGCAGTCATTTCTGGGCATTATAGCCGTGTCCCTGTGGGCCATTGTAGTTAATAGTGCGGTACATTAATACACGATTCACGGCGCATCGACGATAAGCCATCTCCGGTGACGCGGGTGCCGGCATGCTTGTCACGGCGCTGAGTGGTAGGTACGTGGACTTGTACGCGAACGCGGGCAACAAAGGTCTTTGCCAAGAGTCATTCACGTCACGGCCGATCTCTCCGCGCGCGCTAATGCAAATACGACCACGTAGCGCTGTCTAATCTAGATGCTGTCCGCCGAAATTATTAAATACGAAGCAATTTTTGAAGAGCGTACGTGCGTCGCCTGTCGAGCGTGCGAGCACCGCCGCACGAATCCCAACTAGCGCTATCGCAAATCGAACAATACGCCGAGTCGACTTTGTAAAAGGTCGGCGCGCCGTCACATAATCGTTAAAAGTGGTTATTTTACCTCTAACAATCAAAGGCAGTGGTTGAAATTCTGCGTGACACATAAAAGGGCCGTGCGTATCGCGTGTAAATAAGCGCAAACAGAATTGAAGCACGCTAGCCGATGGCGCATTACATCATTAGCACGACGCTCACACGCAAGCCGAGCCAGCGACGTCCTTTGAAAAATGCAAGTAATTAGGGCTCTGAGCAAATACCGTGTTGTGCATACGACTGGATCAATCGACACAATGAGACTGATTTTAATTATATCGCGTTATGCATATTTTAGACGTGATTCGCCGAGACTTGCTGGTCACGTTACACATGTTCTTAGCATTGAGCACACAAATATGACGGAGAGGGAAGCGCCTCTGACACATTAGATAGCTGTAGCGGGAGATCGAAGTTTCTAGGGGGTATCGCATCCGAGTCGCATCCCTCTCATGTATAAATACACACACGCCACCGCAGGTGTCTTCGTCGCACAAGACCAAAGAATGAATTAAATGTAATAGATGTATTCTGTGTATTATGCAATCAATATTTTATCTGAATATTTATATATCACTGCAGCTCACCCTCTCTGCGTCTCCACTCTCCGCGTGTGTGTGTGTGCATGCGTGCGTGCGTGTGTGTGTGTGCGTGTGCGCGTGCGTGCGTGCGCCTGCGTGTGTGTGTGCGAGTGCGTGTGCGTGTGCGTGTGCGTGCGCGTGCGCGTGCGCGTGCGCGCGCATGTGTGTGTGTGTGGTGTGTAGCCCTTGCTGTGCAACAATCACCTGCAGCTCTTGCTGTGGAACGAGGAACAACAGAGGCTAGTGCTGATAGCACTGCTAACAGAAGCCGTACGCAAAGCAGGACTTATGTACAAAGCACTTACGCACATCGCCGTTTGAAAATCCCCGGCGGTACTGTGGCGCCCCCTGCGTCGTGTCCACGTGCGGGAACCAAACACGTCTATAGATCTATTCCTTAGACTTAGATGTAGCCCGTGTATTACAGCGGCATGTTTATTCGCTGGTTCAGTTAGCTTTAAACTCATATGTAACTGGTTCGATGCCGAATGCAAACTTGTACGTGGGTGTTACTGAAGAAAAGCGCCATAAGTGACTGTTATAGACAGGTGTTCGTTCTATGGAAGTGACCGCTAACACATGTTTGACTGTAGTAGAATGCGGACAAGAGACAAGGCTCGGCCTTCGTTCGTATGCAGTGCACAACGGGGTAAGGCAATTCTAAAACATAGCGTGAGGTCAAAGCAGAATGTTAAAGGTCAAATGTCACGCGTGAGAGGGAAGGGAAGAGAAGGGAAGAAAAAAGAAGGGTAATATGCGATGCGCTCTTTAACTTGTAATATTTGAGCAGAGTCGATGGCGATTTAATTGGCAATTGCGGCATAAATCTCAATATGCTGTTCACGTTAATAATAAAATGTGAGAATGCATATATAGTAGCAGCAACAACAACTATATAACTGCAGCAGTAGCGGCGACGGTGGTGGCAGTAGCAGCAACAGTAGCAGTAGCAGTAGCAGCAGTAGTAATAGCGGTAGCAGCAGCAGTAGCAGTAGCAGTAGCAATAGCAGTAGCAGCAGCAGTAGCAGTAGCAGTAGCAATAGCGGTAGCGGTAGCAGTAGGAGGAGGAGGAGGCGGAGGAGGGGGAAGGAGGAGGAGCAGCAGCAGCAGCAACAACAACCACAGCAATAGCATCCGGATACACAACACTGCTCGTTGAATTAGATGAGTACTGTTGCTGTGCAAGACAGCGTTAACTAAAAACGTATTCCGTATGCAGATTAAAATGCAAATTTTATACATATCACATTTCATTCAAATTAAAATTATTGTCAGAATCTAAAATAGTGATAGTTTTTGCAAAACCTGACGCTAGTCTTTTGAAATCAAGCCACGTTACAGGGTTGCAGCGCTTTCCCCCCATCAAACCATTCGTCGCAGTGCTTGTTTGCACATTCGAACGCTGTCGTTGCATAGTTGATGTAGTAGTAGCAATATTGGCCAGAGGCGCCTCCAGCACGAACGCAATTCTTGTTGTAGATTACCAGGAAAGTGTAGCGCGACTGGTAAATTGCGTACGAATATATCCGAATGGTATATTATGATAAACAATGCCACGAAACGAAATTTTATCGATTGATGGTTTATTGATTAATGATTGGTTGGTTGATTGATTGGTTGGTTCGTTGGTTGGTTGATTGATTGATTGATTGATTGATTAGGTGATGGATAGATCGATTGATTGATTGATTGATTGATTGCAGCGGTTGAGTAACGTCAGCATCTTCTGCACACCGTTCGCATCGTTGCATCACGCTAACCGCGCTAACGTGACATTCCAGCAATTTCACGTACAACGATAGTTGAGTCTACAGAGAGCGGGAAAATTTGCCAGCAACAAGAATAATAAATTGCGTATGTGCGAATTGCTTCACGAAAATCTTTGTAGTCTAATTAGTTGATGTTGTTAGTTTTCCCCAACGCCAATCTGCTCACGCAATTATTCGAGGTTGTGCCTGCTATTTCCTAAAAGGAATTCCTGCGATTAGAGAATCAAATTTAGCAAACTCTTTTTTCACGTTTTCCTTACTGCTTGCTCTGTTCCCAAGTACAAGCTTTAAATAAAAGTTCGAATCGAAATTATTATAGATGAATTTCGCTTGCGTGACTAAATTAATTAGCGTGGCTATCATTCAACTCACTCAGTTGTATAACCGCGTAGGCTACAATTTCCTTGCATCCATCCGTATAGCGAATTACAAGTTAAACGCCTAGGTAGCAATATGTGCAGCAAATTTATTATAGGTATCAGAAGTAGATAATAATGAATCCCTATTATCTACTTCTGATAGGTATATAAACCTGTAAATGATTTTCGTGCGTTTCACTATCCGAAACTGACTCCAATTAATAAGCGGTAGGAA